CCACAGAAATTTTTTCACTCTTGTTTCAATTCTTGCGTAATCCTTACGGAGTGACTCAATCAACTTAACGTACGACACGCTGCTTTGTGTTCTCCTTGCCAGGAGAGAGTTTAATAGATGACACGATGTATGTATTCATTATTCAGTGCACGCCGCAGAAAGAATGCACGCAGCTACAGTGAAGTGTCGATCGCATCGTGCGAGAGAGGAGACAATTCGATGCGGGTCTGGCTTAGTCATCGCCCTAATTGTGTTTCCAATCCATTAGGTCGATTCTGTGTGGCGAACAGAAGTACCATTATAAAGGAACGACAGTTGTATTATTTCTCCACCCCTCATTTGCGACAGGGTGGTCAGTCTTCCTCAATTTACTTTCCTTTCACTGATCTTACGTGTAAGCCCTAACATTCCCATATACCAGTACAGTATAATAAAAGAGGAATAAAGATAAAGTTGTCTGTGCTCTAATTAAGCCATGCCACGAAAAAGAATTAAGGATTGTATGCATAATATTCTAAATATCGGCGCTAGATGGAGGCGAATAGGTTCATGCTCCGGCTCGGAGAGAGGACGGAGCAAGTCTCCACTGCCGCCATACACGACAAAGAGTCCGTGGCCCCCACAAGTTAAAAACAGGTTAATTTTCTCAGAACTTCGTCACAATTAATGACATGAAATTTCGAGACAATACGATGATAATAATTATTGGTTCCGTAATGCTTGAAACAGTTTTATATATCCGAGTGCTTCGGTTTCCCCTGCCAATCTTCATTTCACCAAATTCTCCATCATCATAATCACCTGGGGCAGGTACAATAGGCTAATTGGTGGCCGACGTACCGAGTGGACCCAGCTGGACTCCATCCCCCACTAAGCGAATCTATATAGTCGCACAATACAGGAGACACGCGGTAGCGTAGTTCGCTGAGGCACTATGCTATAAAACGGAAGGTCGCGGGTTCGAATCCCGATGCAGTGAACATTTTGAATTTACCTAATCCTTCCAGCTGCAGTATGTCCCTAGGGTGGAATCAACCTCTAACAAAAATGAGTACCAGGAATCTTCCTGGGGGAAAAGGGTGACCGGCGCGTAAGGCCGACAACCTTATCCCCACCTGTGAACTGATTGTCTAGAAAATGTGGGAGCCTGGACGTCTTACAATCCTATGGGCCTCCACGGCCTGTTACAGGTGCAGATTTACCTTTTACTGGATTTCCACCGCTCGGTAAGATGGACTCTTAGCCATTTTACTTAGTACGAACTTAAATCAGAAGTGTTATTGCTGCCAGTTCAGACACCGGCTACCAGAGCATCAGTTACATTGTCAGAGATGCACATAGACCGATACAGAAGCGAAGTGCACGACTCACTGAAGGTCCCGCGCGACATATTCCTCCCGCGCCATTTGTCCATGCCACGTGGCTTGTTCGGTTATTACGCGATATGTAAAGACACTGACAAGTAGTGGTATACTTACCATGCTCTTGGTGGCTAGCCTATATAACGTCGAATTGTAACACGATAAATGAATAATTAATAGAAAGAAATTGGGAAGTACGCTTTCGAAGCCTGATTGATGTAGCATCCTTGTATTTTCCTGGAGACACTCAGGAAACCCACAACAAACATCATTCAGAATAGTGAGTGTCCCGGCCGAGATTCGAACCGAGCTTCTTCCGTAAAAGAGTCAAGAGTGTTACCATTACGCCAACCCGTTCGGTGACGCCGACGCTCTGCGGTCCGACAGTTTGTTCGAGTATTTACACTGATCTGCACAGACCATCAAATTCAGGTGCATTCTACAATAATTTACCGGTCCCTCTGGCCGCGCCATAGCTCAAGCGGTAGTCGCTGGCTTCCCATAGCGGCGGCCCGGGTTCGATCACAGATCTGGTCAAGAAGGATTTGTGGTGGATAAAGTGGCGCTGGGGCAGGTTTTCTCCGAGTACTTGTTTCCCCTGCCAATCTTCATTCCACCAATTGCTCCACAATCACCCTCACCTATCATCTGGGGCTGGTACAACAGGCCAGAAGTAGCCGCAGTACAAGGGACTTAGTCCCACCCCACTAGCAATAAAGAAAAATAATACCGGTCCCTCGACCGACAAACAGCGACATGTCGAAACATTTCTCTGAATTTCCTCCAAAATCCTCTGTCGGTGGTGATGCGTGTTGGTGACGTATGATGTGAACATACTCGTTAGAATATGTTAGAAAATATTTTGTGGGTCCGCTGACGGTCCGTTCCACTTCGATAGCGTTACGTATAGTGCAAATAGTCCTTAATTCGGCTTGAAACTATTGCAGTTACTGATAATTTGAAGTATCAAAGCATAGAAGTATACTACTTTCTGCGCTATAACGCCGTGTAGTCCGTTGAAAGTCAGTCAACTTTTCGGAGGCGATATATTCCACCGAAACGTTGGCTGACTTTCAACGGGCTACACGGCGTTATATCGCAGGAGATTGTAGTACTCTTCATAACCATCGCTGTTAGAACATCAAATCCTACTATAAAAATATCATTAGGTGCTATTTCGATGCGGTAACAAGAACAGCAACAAATTTACAACAGTATAAGAAATATGTAAATTTAATGAACGTTCTTTTCATTCATATTAAATTCCTTCTGCTCCTGGAGTTTAACATATTTTGACAGCGACGTGAATTTAACAACAGACGAATTATATTTCGTTTATTTTCTTGTGAAATAACTCCATTATCTTCTGAAGATCTGTCAAAAGACCTAAAGAAAACTAGAAGTCTGGGAGTCGTGTACGTATGTAAATTATAGTATATAGTATAGTATATATCCCTATTATTCATGCTGTAATAGTGATGAAGGACACTGATATATTGGGTCACTGGTCCAGTGATTGAGGCTAGCTCTTTCTAATGGACCCAACAGAATAGGTGTTTTCCTTCACCTGAGGACGGAAACAGATCCAGTTTCCGAAACGTCGTGTTTTTATGAGTTATCTTAAAAACCAGGACGATGGATAAAGTCCAAAAACCCCAATATATCAGTGTGTTACACACCATCGTCAGAATCCTATAGTAACTACTAGTGATGAAGGAGTTTTTACATAATTTTTTTTCATTTCATTCTCTGTGTCTTTTCTTTAATAAACTGAGTACCTATAATAGCATTGTGGAGATTTTTTTTATTAAGAGCTTACAATATGACACCTCCTCCTTCTCTTAATCTTCTTGGTGAAATTAGATTAATAAGCAGACTGGGCTCTTGGTGTGGGTTGGGATTACTGTTATTCATCTTTTCATATTATGGCAGCATCTGCTTTTCATTTCTTTTCTACAAATAGATCCACAGTATTTTATGTCTACCACCGCAGTATCGGTTTAATGCGTTGCATGAACCAGGCGTGAAGTACAAGGAAACATCCAAAGTCCAGACGAGCTATCTGTCGCCCTGACAGAATTTAATTCGAAAATGCTACTGATTTGAAAGAGGACAGAATAAAATCACAGAGACAAATTTCTCCTATGATCGCCCTTTATAGTGGAGGTCTTAGCATCATACAAGTAATGCTCATACCTGAAGTTGTTTTGTTGTACCCTTGATCCAGAACTCAGAACTCTGTACTTAATTCCACGCAGCACAGTCAACAAACACCTGTTTTAGATACCGCAGGTTGGAGTGTCGTCCTCACAAGAGCCGCCATTGGTCAGGGATCGCACTAAGCCCCAGGTCCTGTTTAAGGTTTCGTAACATGCAAAGTACCCTGCCGCGAGATGTTAATTCTAATGCACAGTCCCCAAATTTGGGTATCATTCCTTGTCGGATGTCTGAGACTATTCCTCAGGATATTCGCCAATACCTTCGACAACTTGAAGTCATCTCCTCTGTCCGCAACCTGACGACGCGTCATGGTGGCAAGGAACACGCCGAAGACCGACTTCATACTCGCTGAATCTAATTCTCCAGGACTTTGTTATCTAAGGCTAACCAAACTATGAAACTACAGATTCTAATGCGCCATCTTGGAAACGCACTGCTGTGAACAGGCGTTTAGATTTCTATGTCCCTACAGCTCTATGCTTAACGATATAGAAGTCTCTATTTTACTTTTCGTGTAATGACAACTCGACCTGAAATCACAACGTCTGCATTTATACAAACATTTGCACTGTGCATATTTCTCCTGAAACTGGGGTATTTTTGGATGATGAAAAAAATGAAAATAAAAGTAAGCAGGGGCTGTGAGCTTTTTAGGGGACCGTGAAATGTACATGTCAATATTTACTTTCCAGCAAGTTGTTGAAACAGCAGCTCTCTTCTGTCACAAACTACTCTCTGAAGCAAATGTACTTCGGAAGTGATTCTGCATTTACGAGGAATTTGGTACGAACCCAACACGATATATAAATTCAACTGACATGCAAATCGAAATATGCGGCTCGTACTTTATTTCAATGAGTTATTTTGACCTCCCCGTATTCTCTAAATCTATTGCATCCATCCTGTACGTTCTGACAAATACGAATAGTTCTGAAACGCTATTGGTTCCTAAATTTCTAAACATATATATATATATATGTATATATACAGTTTCAATATTATATGCACATGTAGAGCCTAAAGGGTTCTGACGGTGGTGTAATCTCGAGAAGTGTTTGTGCATACTGTTGTAGACTTGTTGGCTTATTCTCACAGCAGGAAGCTATGGACTGTTAGCCATGTTCCAAATGGTGATGTTATGGAGACTTACAAATGTTTTTCAAGAATTTTTTGACACTACATACAATTTGGAGCAATAAATGAGCCTCGATTAAAACACGGAAAGCGACATTTAATTTTTCCAAAATTAAAAAAAGCAAAATTCACAGACAAATTATTCTGTGTGGGTGCTCACCGTATTATATCCTTAGCCACAGTAACGGGTATTGTTTGTGTATAGTGCATTAGAATACTTCCCGTATATGCTTACAAGATTCCAAGTTTTAAGTATTCCCTTGAACAAAGCAAGCATCTTCCTACCTGCTGAAGTTGTTCAATAGATTCACAGGGCGACCGTACTTCTTGCCTGAGCCCGGACAGCGAAGAGGCCGATTCGGTGTTACGAGGAGTTTATTCGGAGTGGTTGTTGATGATGTTTTAGGAGTCGATGTATGAGTCGGGGAACCAAGATGTTCTGGTAATTCCGAGCACAGAGGCTTCACAGATGGAGATTCTTCGCGATTAGAAGAAGTCCTAGGAGAACGCACAGTACTTTCACCTGCCGGTGACTGATGCGACAAAGATTTTGGACTCCGCGAATTTGGCAGTGGCGTTCGCTGATGACGAGAGCAACCTTGGCTGGCTAGAGTTTCTACTGAAAGATTTGTGTTTTTGTTGGTTTCTTTGGATGATGAGTGAACATTGTTTGATCCTTCTGCCGATGGCCGAGTTGGCGATAGTTTGCTTGTGTTGCAATGAGAATGGTTTGGATTTAGGCTCCGCGGTGAAGGGACGGGACTTTCCCGAACAGACTTACTTGGAGATTCTTTTTGGTTACGTGGTGGGGTCCGTATAGTTGGCACTGGAACGGAGCGGTTGAGAGAGTTTTGTGATCTATTTTGCAAGTTGTGTTCATCAAGACTTTCTATTGAATTCACACACTCATCTGGTTTACTCGACGTCTCCCTGCTTGATAATTCCTTGTGGTCTTCTCGCTGTTGTAAATACTGTTTACTAACATCGTCGGCATCTGTTCTTGTACATTCTTCACTTGATGACTGGGGGAGTCTCTGACACGTCTGTGTCTCTGTTCGCAGTGGTGACGTGGGTTTGTTGGGTGATTTGTCGGCACGCTCTGGAACACAGCTGCTTTCGGGTGCTTGATTTAGGCACATACACTCTTGCAGAAACTTTTCTCTGAGTATTTTCACTGGTAACTGTGCAGGGCACTCTATGTTCGTCTGGGAAAATTCTGAGGTACCAACTATTTGTCCAGCAGCTTGTACTATAGTACTATCGCGAATATCATTCCTTGATGTTTCACCAAGGCAGACACACTGCGAAAATACTTGTCTTTTCAGTTTACTAACAGGAGATTTAGGAAGGACAAGGTTTGGTTCCTCGGAAACTTTATTTTCAGTTTGAGGACACCCACACTCCCGCTGAAGTCCTGTCACGTCCTGTGGATGCTGGGCAGGAGATACATTACAGTCTGGTTCCTCACTGGGAAGTGGGGAAGGTTTAAAAGATTCTCCACTCGCTGTTGGTGTTGAAGATGCTTCAGAGTCGGAGAAGCCGGAGTCCTGACTTTTATGGCTGCTACTAGGGCTGCTGGAAGAACCACGAGAAGGGCTAAGAACGTGGCCTGCACCTCCCCAACCAACGACTCGGTCGTCTTCTATATCTGCTTCTAAGTTGGACCACCACACCTTACTGCGGCTGCGCTGGAACTCTCCCATCACAGTCCTGCCTGGAAAGTGAAATACAGCTTGTAAGCAATACTTCCTTCCGTGTTTTAAATATACTTGTACGAGTAAATAAATCGTTCTGCCGTTTTACATCTTCGGTTGAGAAGTGACACGGACCACGGTTCCAACTTTCTGTTACTTCTTGCCTGGCGAAATTTGTGTATCAGAAAAGTCACAGCGACGGAAGAGATAAAGAGACATATCAAATGGTAAGCGCATATTCGTGTTCATACACTCTATTATTTCGGAATTCTGATCCTGCCACTTCTAAAGCAAATTCTCGGTATGTGGAAATTAATTAACCCCATTAGAGAACTCAGTCCCCTGAACTTATTTAAACGTTATATTAAATTATTCGTTTAATATCATAGAATTATGTGGTTCAAATGTCACGGAAATTTTTCCCACAGGTGACATAAACTCATTAGACTAAAACACCACGCCTCCTGAAATTCACTCCTGTAATTCACGGGGATATCCCTCCGACACACGTTGCCCAATACTAGATGAATTAATATCTCATGATTCATCATCATCAGCATCATCATCACTGGCACTGGCACGACAGCCCTTTGTGAGCCCTGTCCTTCCTCAGGATTGCTCGCCATTCTTCTCCATTCGATGCTACATTCCTCCAGTTCTTTACACCCAAAATTCTTATGTCCTGCCACACACATTCTTCCCATCTTAAACTTGGTCTTCCCACTCTCCTATTTCCTTCTGGTTTAGTATTTTCTTAATCGTTCTATCCTCGCTGGCACGTATTATGTGTCCAGCCCATTCAGGCCTTTTCACCTTTATAAATCCAATAATGTCTGGTTCATTAAATAGTTTGTATAGCTCATGGTTATACCTCTTCCTCCATATTCCATTTTCTTCCACTGGCCCAAAGATATATCCCAAGATCCTCCTTAAAAGTATAGTTAACAGTCAATCATCCGATCTTGACAGTGGCCAGGTCTCAGAGGCATAAGATAGCACTGATCTTATAAGTACTTTATACATCATAGTTTTGGTTTTCCTGGGTATTAGTTGGGATTTCAGGTGTTTCCTAAGGCCATGGAGACATTTGTTTGCCGCAAGTACACGCTTTTTTATTTCATCACTGATGTCATTTTTACAGTTAACTTCTGATCCAAGGTAAGTGAAACTACATACAACCTCAAATTTATATGAGCCAATTTCAATATATGCAGGTCCATTAGCACAGTCTTTCTTGGTTACCGGCGTGTACTTTGTTTTATTTTGGTTAATTTGTAGATTCATCTTTTTTGCTGCTCTTTCCAAATTAAGAAAAGCTTCTTTCATAGATTTTTGTGTTCTACCAATTATATCAATATCATCTGCAAATGCCAAAATTTGAACTGACTTATAGAATATAGTTCCCCTTGTGTTGATGCCTGCATCTCTAACTACCTTCTCTAATGCTATATTGAACAAAAGGCAGGCTAGGGAATCCCCTTGTCGAACTCCATTTCTAGTTATTATAGGGCTGGACAACATATTCTGAATCTTAATTTGGCATTGGGTCTTTCTCATAGTGGCTCTGACTAAGGCGATTAACTTCCGTGGAATGTGCATCTCTTCCATTGCCAGAAAAAGACTATCTCTATCTATGGAGTCATAGGCTGATTGGAAGTCAATGAAAAGATGATGTGTTTCAATTTGGAATTCATTACACTTTTCAAGGACCTGGCGAATAGTGAAAATCTGATCGTTAGTTGATCTTCCTTGACGAAACTCACATTGGTAATCCCCAATTATCCCTTCCACAGAGGGAGAGAGTCTGTTAAATAGAATGCTGGAAAACATTTTATACGCTATGCACAACAGACTAATTCCTCCATAGTCAGAGCATACCATGACATCGCCTTTCTTATGGATGGGGCATACAATACTTAGGTTCCATTCCTCTGGGACTATTTCAGTTATCCATATCTTAACTGTTAGCTGGTGTAAGTGCTTAGCATATTCTTGGCCTGCAAATTTCACTAATTCTGCCATGATGAGATCCATTCCTGGAGCTTTATTATTTTTTAATTTTTTTATAGCTTGTTCTACTTCTTTTATGGTCTGCGCTGGCTCTTGAGCCTCAAAATTTCCTTGATTCCAGTCTATGGTCATACCTTCCGCTTCTTCAGAGGCATTACCATTTAATAATTCCTCAAAATATTGGGTCCATCTTTCCAATATTGCTTCATCGCTACTCAATATCATGCATTCTTTATCTCTACATAAGGTTGTTCTAGGTTGAAAGTCCTTTCGACTCTTGTTTAGTTTTTTATAAAACGCTCTAATTTCGTTTGAACTTCTTAAATGCTCCAGTTCAATCAGTTCTTGTTTATCATATTCCATTTTCTTCTTTTTATGCAATCTTTTTTCTTTTCTTCTCGCTTCACGGTATTCTTCCACGCCCCCTCGAGTATGGTTCCTTTGCTGCATTCTCTTATATGCCTGTTTTTTTTTATTTGTCACTTGCTCACACTCTCCATCAAACCAATTCTTATACTTTATCCTTTCCATTCTTCCTAAGACTGCACAAGCAGCATTTATAATAACATCTCTGAGGCCCCTCCAAGCTTCACTGACATCCTCACTATCAGAGAGACCTGCCAGGCATTCACTAATTAATCCAGTATATCTCGTTGCAGCTCCTTGTTCCACCAATTTTCCACAATTCAATTTCTTAGCCTGGGATCCATGTATCTTCCTTGCATTAGATATTCGACTTCTAATTTTTGATATTATTCAGTAATGATCAGAGTCAATGTTGGCCCCCCTGTAGCTCCTGACATCCATCAAGTCTGAACAATGTCTTACATCTATTAGGACGTGATCAATTTGATTAAACACATTTCCATCAGGAGATTTCCAGGTTCGTTTATGTATATCCTTGTGATTAAACATTGTACTACCTATTACCATGTTTCTTGAGGAAGTAAAATTTATTAATCTCATCCCATTATCGTTTGACTTGTTATGTAGGCTGTTTTCCAATAACCGATCTATATATCCTCATTCCCCACTTTAGCATTCATGTCCCCTATGATTATTTTACAATCCCTTTTTGGACATTCGCCATATATTTCATCCAATTGATCATAAAAGGAGTCTTTCTCCTCATCACTTTTATCTTCAGTTGGGGCATGTGCACAAATAAGGCTATAGTTAAAAAACTTTCCCTTAATTCGTAGCCTACATGTTCTGTGAGATTTTGCCTGGAAGTCTAAAATAAGATGCTTCCTTTTTTTATTAACAATAAAACCTGTCCCAAACATGTGACTCTTCTTCTGACAGCTATAGAATACAACATGATCCCTCTTTTCCATGACTCCTTTACCCAAACACCTCAGTTCTTATATAGGAGTGATATCTATTTACTATAGGATTCTGACGATGGTGTATAACACAGAGATATTGGGTTTTCGGACCTTATCCATCATCCTGGTTTTTGAGGCTAGCTCTTTCTAAGGGACCCAACAGAATGGGTGTTTTCCTTCACCTGAGGACGGAAACAGATCCAGTTTCCGAAACGTCGTGCTTTTTCTTAGTTATCTTAAAAACCAGGACGATGGATAAAGTCCGAAAACCCAATATCTCTGTGAGTGATATCCAGTTTATAGCTATCTATACGTAGTGGTTCAAGTAGCATTTTTAGTGCTCCGGCTCTGTAAAGCGATAATACATTCCAAGATCCAATTCTCAAATCCTTTAAACATTTTCCAGGTCGTCTTGAATAGGTCCGTCCGGTTACACTTTCCTCGGATTTCTGAACAATTTACTTTTTACGGTGTGAGGTTGTTGGCCTCACGCCCAACCCCCAACCTGGAGAACCAGGGTATCCCTCTCTGTCTGGCTCCTACCCCTTCACCTGTCCGGCATGGGTGGCCCTACCAGTAGCTACGCTACTGCCGGCATAGCTCTCAGGGTCTCAGGAACTCTCAGTGGAGATACCACTGGTGGGGAATAGCTCATGATTATCGTTAACATTATTAAATTCCATCACTGTTAAAATAAATGTATGGTGTAGTTTCTGTTACCCACCGCAGCTGTAAATTCCTTACTAGCGTGAATATTTCATCTATACCCGTGAAAGCAAGAGCATAAGGAGCACAAGGACACGTGCTGCATATCTGTGACAACTTAGTGGTGCCCTGAGAGACAAATATATGCCTAATACATTCCAGGTGTGTATTTGTGGAATATAGGAAATTATCTATCTATAACTATTTACTTCTGTTCCTACGCAATCTTACCGCGTAAATTTAATCATCTGGAAAAAATAATGCGTTATAAATATTGCAATGGAGCTAGAACAGACGTCCTTACGTTTGTTACATATCGAAACTACATAGCGTCAAAATACAGATATTGATTTCGGTATGAAAAGAACAATATAATAAGTAAAGGTAAAGCTGTCCCTGTGCTTAATTAAGCACCATTCCAGGAGGAAATATGGATGAGTGGTGGTATAGCTTCACATGCTTCAGGCCCCAGGGAAAGGGCGCCCGGTACGCACCGGAGAGGAGGTGACGCGGGTCTCGGAAGCAAAAATCTCCTGTCTTTACCAAGAAAAGACCTTTGTCTTTTGGTTGTCCGGCCGGTACCCTAGTCGCAGTACCGGCTCAGTTATCCGGTTTAATCGGGTACTAGCTCAGAACTCAAGTAACGTGAAACAGAAGTTGTATGATATCTCTGTACTTGAAATCCCTTCCAGGGTTACGAATACAGGTTAATTTTAAATGTAAAGCAAGCCTATTTGGAATTAAAATCTATATGGAATTGTTCCTGCGAATGAAACATAGAACTAGTAATTTAAAAGATTTTGTTACGAAAAAAAATCGATGTCCTTTTGTCCTATTCAGGCTTTGCTACCCTTCGTCTCCCTTTTTTTTTGTAGGGTTTATGTTAATGTTCCTACCCTAGTGGTTGGTTATTCTTTGCGTTGTATCAGTATACACAGATGAAACCGCCATCTTTAACGGCAACCAGATCAGTTGGG